TCTATATAGATTTGCCTATTCTGGATAGGTCCTTTGAGTGGGAATATATACTATTTGGTCTTTTGAGACTGGCCTTTTCATATAACATGATGTTTTGAGTTCACCCATTAATTAATACTACATTCCTTTTTACTGCTGAATAATTTATTCCATTGTATGGGCTTGCTGTGTTTTGCTTATCTATTCATCAGTTGATGAACATTTTGGTTGTTTCTACTTTTTGGCTAGTACGACTTATACTGCCAAGAACATTAGTGTATACGTTTTTGTGTGGATAGATGTTTTCATATCCCCTGGGTATGTGTACACACACATACACACACAATTCCACCCCTAGAAGTGGAATTATTGGATCACATAGCGAATCTGTGTTCAGCCTTTTGAGGAATTGTCAGACTATTTTCCAAAGCAGTTGCACCATCTCATAGTTTCACCAGCAGCACACAAAGATTCCCATTTCTCCACATCCTCATCAACATTTATTATCATGTACTTTTGATCATAGGTACCCTCATATGGGTATGAAATGGTATTTCATTGTGTTTTTTATTTGCATTTTCCTGAAGGATAATGATAGTGAACATCTTTCTATATATTTACTAGCCACTTGTGTATCTTTTTGGAGAAATGTCTATAAAGATCCTTTGCCTATTTTTCTTCTTCTTTTTAAAAGCTCTTTTATTTTATTTAACTTCATTCATTCATTCATTCATTTATTTCATTTCAACTAGAGAGAGACAGAGTGTGAGAGAGAGAGAGGGAAAGTGAGAAAGCAACCCACCAGATCCGGGACTTGAATTTTGGTCTGCCATGTGGGACTCCAGCGCCTTAACCACCATGCCACCTGCTGGCCTTTTTCTTTTTAAAGGTTTTTGCCATAGGGTGTGCATGCTCATCGGAGAGAGACAGTGAGAGGGAAAGTGAGAAATCACCTGGTGTGTGTGTGGGGGGGAGGCCATGCTGCATTCCCATCTCCATTTTCCTCTTGGGATTTTGGGCACACATACACACATGCCCAGTGTGATTTTCAAGTTGCTGGGTCAGGGACTTGAACTATAGTCAATCATGTGGGAATCCAGTGCCTTAACCATGATATCACCTGGTGGCCCCGATCCTTTGCCTATTTTTAAATAGAGTTATTTGCCTTTTTATTATTGAATTGTTGGAGTTCTTTATGTATTGCAGTAAGTCTCTTATCAGATAAATAATTTGCAAAATTATTCTTCCAGTCTTTGGGTCGTCTTCTCACTTTCTTGTCCTTTGATACGTAAGACTTATTTTTTTTTAATTGCCAGAAGGTGCATGTGCTCACCAGAGACATAGAGATACAGAGAGGGAGAGGGAAAAGGAGTGGGAAAAAGCACCCCTCAATGCATGGAGGGGGCATCAAGCAGTTTCTTCTCCATTTCTCAATTGTGCAAGATTCTGGGGTTGCACACACACATGTCCAGGGTCTTTTTAAGCCCCTGGGGCTGGGATTTGAACCATGTGGTTGGTCGTGTGGGATTTTGTTCTCTTAATCACTAGGCAACAGGGCTGGCCCCAAACTTTAAAATAGATGATGTTCAGTTTATCTATGTTTTCCTATTGTCTGTGGCTGACAATTTGGGAAGCTTTTAGAGCGCAGAGGTTGGTGGGGCTTTTCAGGTCACCTTGGGTGTGTGTGGGGGGGGAGATTTCCTTTACATCTGTTCAGGGTTTCATTCTTTTATCCTAGCCAGCCACAGTCCTTCCTCTAAGCCTGGAGCAAAGAGCCCCAAGGGACCTTCACTGTGTTTACATCCCCTCCCTCTCCTGAGGGCTACCACAATAGAGCAGCTGAAATGACAGTTTGGAAATATCCTTTATTGTGAAAACTCAATGGCCTTTGTCTCTGGGATTTGAAATTTTCATGCAAATGTTGGCAGCCAAGAAATAGGAAGGAGGAGGGGAAGAGATGGAAGAGTAAACCCTGCCACTGAGGTCCATAGTGAGTCATCCAACTCTCTGTAGTCTAGTTTTCTCACCCATAAAAATGGGAGAATACCTTAAAAAAAAAAAAAAAAAAAAGGACCAGCAGTTAGCATAATAGCTATGTCGCTGGACTCCCATGTAGTCAACTGCAGTTCAAGTCCCGTACCCGGTGGCTTAAAACTCACGCCGGGTGCGTGTGCATGCGTGCCCAAGATCCCAAGAGAGGAGAATAATGGAGGAGAAGGGATTGCAGCGTGGCCATCCCCCGCCCCGCCCCTCCCGGGAGAGATTTCTTGCTTTCTATCTCTCTGTCTCTCTCTGCCTTTCTGGTGAGCTCATGCGCTCTATAGCAAAAACCTCTCCAAAATGGGGGGGAGGGAGAATATCTCCATCTCCTCGTCTGGGGGGGGGTTAATCTGTATTTGTTAGAATATTTTGAAATCTTGGATTAAAGACCTTGCTGTATATAAGGTATTATTATAATAATAATTGATTTGATAGCAGGATGAGGCCACCGAAGCAAGAATGATAGGAAGAGGAGAGGTTCTAGCAGTGGAGCCGCCCCCACGCCCTTGTCCCAAACTCAGATTTTTATTTTTAGAGGTGAAATTTCTTACAAATCCTTTGGGCTATTTCTTCTGGTTTTAGCATCTAAGAGTTTCCTATATGACTTCGGCTGTAGGGAGGTAACGATCTTTTAGAGAATAGGTGAGATAAACTTTTTTTTTCTTTTGAGAGGTTTTTGCTATAGGGCGAGTGCACTTGCCAGACAGACAGAGACATAGAGACAGAAAGCGAGAAATCACCCCCCCAGGGGGGATGGTCACAGCTCAATCCCTTCTCTTCCATTCTCCTCTCGGGATCTTGGGCACGCACGCACACGGCGTAGGTTCTAAGCTACCGGGTCCGGGACGTGAACCACGGTCAACTACGTGGGAATCCAGCGACATAGCCAATTATGCTAACTGCTGGTTCCCAGGTGATATAAACTAAAGCAATTAGAAATAATGCAAGACATAATCAAGTGCTGATTGCATACTGACCAGTGGCAGAAGGCAGTTTGGTTGAGAGCAGAGTTCCCCTTTTCTGACTCCCAGGCCTACCACCCCCTAGGTGAATGACCTTGCCTGTTTCTTCTGCCATGAATTGTTCTTGTACAGCACCCAGAACAGTGGCTAATATCCATGATAGTAAGCACTCAGATGTTGGGCCCATTTGGGCCCTGGTCCCATTCTGTTTGGGGTTATGGTCAAGTTGCTCCATGCCTCTGGGCCTCAGTATCCTATCTGTAAAATGGGGATAAAGATGCCAACTACCTCGCAGGTGGCTGTGAGGACCCAGGATCACAGTCTGTACGGGGTGTAGCCTAGGCCCTGCACCAGGTAAACAGGCCCGGAGTGACAACTACTCAGGTCATTGCTACAGTGAAGTGCCCAGGCTGAGGAGGGGTGAGCTCATCCGTGTCTGGGTTAAGTCAAGGGGCTTCTCTGGAAGGTGGAATTTGAGGAGGGCAGGAAGAAATTGGTAGGATTTGAATGATCAGAGAGGAAAGCATAAACAAAGAACGCTGGGAGCCTGAAGATGGACTGTCCCCTGCAAGGCCTGAAGGGACTGGGCAGCTCGCTTTTCTCTCGGCTCTGAGCCCGGCGGGTTGTGTCTGGTGCAGCCTTAACGGAAGTTTATCTCCAGCTCCTCCTTCTGCGATCTCCGAGCCCATCTCCGCGTTCTGCGAGTATGGGGCTCAGCAGGCCTTGCACAGACCCTCCCTCCCTAAGGAATGGGGGGCCCCACTTCCTGGGCCAGCCTGGAAGAGCGCCTGCCGCTACTACCGCAGCCAGGAGTGAGGACGCCCGGCTGTCTTGACCCCACCCTCCACCAGGATCCGGTTTCAAAGTCACCTGAAAGCCATTTCCTCCCACTCCCGCCCCGCCCCCCGCCTGTAAAACACCTGGAGCTTGCATTTGCCTCGAGCAGCTTTTTTTTTTTTTTTTTGGTAGGGGAGGGGAAGGGGACTCGTTTTGTTTCACCGAGAACTGTACGTTACCCGTTTACTATACAAACCTGTCTACCTCCGGATATCAAAATACCCAGTGGTTTTAATATCAGTCCCCCATTTTTCCTCCCAAGGAGCTAGTGATAGCGCCCCGCGGGTGGGAGCCGTTTCTCTTCCCGGGGTCTCACCTGGAACGCCCCTTCTCCCGGCTTGTGCTGGACAGCACCTTCCCGCCCCCCACTCGCCAGGATCTATATTGAACTAAGACGGGTTTTTAGATTGACGCTCTTGTTCAAAATCCAACCGGTGTGCGCTGTCAGTCCTTGCCTCCATCTTCACGCTCCACCCCACCCTCGTGGGCCTTTCCACGCACAGAATCACTGACAAAAAAGAGCGCTCTGTCTTTGTTTTACAAAAAATGGGGTCATCTTATCATTCAGTCTCTGCGTTTTGTTTTTTCCACCTAACAGTTCCTAGTGGAAGGGATTCTAGAATGGTTATCTGCTTCTTTATCTCTTTTCGGTTAGCGTCTCAGAGGTTTTGATCTATATCCGTAGGGTCAAGGCAGACCGGGTTTCGGTGAGGAATTCAAGACTTGCCTTTCTGACTCAGAAAAGCCCAGGCGACCTGCTCTGGTAGGATCAGGACCTCCAGATCCGATCCCAACTGGTGACTCACTAGACAAAGCCCCTTTGGCTGGGTCCTGTGTTCCCCATCCCTACAGTGAGACGTTTTAGCACTCAGTGCCAAATCTCAGGAGGCGGTGGCACCAAGTGACACGAGGGTGACCCCCCCACCGCCACAGCCTCCTGCGTCTGGGTATCTTACAGAGTTTGCAGGCTGGCCCCACGACGGCCGGGGGGGGGGGC